ACCTCTGTTTGTTCCTAAAAGCTACAGGAATGGATTGCAAGTAAGAAAAACCAAAATTGTAATAAATCTCATTAAGATGCAGAGATAATCTGGGTTAGAAAATAGGTTCTTGCCTGTTCATTCAGAGCAAGTTGCATCTTGCACTGGGTAGAAAGAATGCTGATAGAGTTGCTTTTTGCTGTTGATATATGAAGCACAAGGGTAAAAAATGTGTTTAGGCTTCCATGGTCATCTTTGAGCAAGTTTGTCTCCTACTTTTGACCTTCATTCATTTATTAGTTCATCATCCATTTGTTTATTCATTAACTCTTGCCATAACTGAGTGCCTTGATGAGCCTTTAGCAGTAATGACCATTCACAGATCCAAGACCTCATGAGATTGCCAGTGAGTGTAAGACACAATCAAACAAGTCTTAGCATCACCAGGTAATGCGTGCCATGAGTGGCCATTGTTAAGGGACCTTCTTGACTCTTTTCTGGAGCTCCAGCTACCACGCCACTGAGGGAGTTATAGGCAAAGCATACTCTGACTTATACATCTTCTTTTGAAAAACAAAAGTAAAACATATTTATTGTAGAAATTTTAGGAAATTCAGAAAGGAAAGGGAAGAGGGAATTTAAAACACCCATAATCCCAATGGAAACCTTTTTAATGTGTTTCTTTCTTTCCAGGCTTTAAAAATTTTTAATTACAGTTGATATACAAATATTATATTAGTTTTATTAGTTTTGGGTGTACAATACAGTGATTTGACATTTTTATATGTCACCTTGTGACCACCCAGCTAATTTTAGTAATCATCTGTCAAGGTGCGAACTTATCACAGCATATCAACTATATTTCCTTTCTCCTTTCCACCCATTCCCTAACCCCTACCCCTCTGGTAACCATTCCTTTGGTTTCTGTTGTTATAAGTGTATGTTTGTTTTGTTTCATTTGTTCATTTGCTTTTAAGATTCTGCATATAAGTGAAACCATATGGTATCTGTCTTTCTCTATTTTACTTATTTCACTTAGGATACTACCATACATATAGGTCCATCCTTGTTGTTATAGATGGAAAGATTTCATTTCTTTTCATGGCCAAGTAATATTTAATTATATTTATATGTATACACAGATATACATATATACATACAAACACATATATATACACACATACACATACACCCCACATCTTCTTGTCTTTTAAAATAAGAGTTTATGTGGGCCAAACTGACAACATATGCCAGGGAGCAAGATCTCAAATGCTCCCTGTCTCACATCTTTATGCACTCTCCTATTGATGGACATCTGGGCTGGTTCCCTATCTTGACTATTGTAAATGCTGCATTGAACATAGGTGGGCATATGTCTTTCTGAATTAGTGTTTTCATTTTCTTCATGTAAATATCCAGAAGTGGAATTGCTGGGTTGTATGGTATCTCTGTTTTAAGTTTTTTGAGGAGTATCCATGCTGTTTTCTTTCATGTCTGCATCAACTTGCAGTCTGCCTCTTCTTTTCTCCCTCCCCCATCCCCTCTCCTCATTCATGAATTCCACTCCTCCCCTAGATGAAATGTGAGCATCCATGCCCTAAGTCTTGAGCTCTTAAAAGATTCATCCCCAATTGCAGCACTTCTGTATTCCATTCCAGCCCTACTTCCTCTGTTCACTCTCTCCACTTCATCACTCACAGGGTCCCTCCAAGTGTCTTAGGTTTTACTGGGGCTCAAAGAGTGGGGACAATTGAGTAGAAGTCAGTGTGTACGTTTGTTGCAGGGTTCAGGGCTGAGGTGGATGTAAATAATTATAGTTCCCATGTCCAACCTGAATGTATGCAGTTCTTTAATGTATGCCTGTAAAGAAGGGTGGTTTACAAAACTCCTGTTGGGATTTAACATAGGTGTGAGTCCAATCTATAAAACAGTTCCAAGATGTAAATGACATCTTTATTTTGTCTTCCTACCCAGGAGCGTGATGTTTGTCTTGATTTATTTTGAGTCTTTATTTAAGAATACCTCCATTTAAGGCTGTCTTATTGTTTAATAAGCTTATATTTCTCCCCGCTGAGTTCTTAAGTATCTTTGCCATATGTGTTTTATATTATTCATATTTCTTATTTGTCAAATACATTTTGTACATATTTTAAAAATTGTGTTTTAAATTTAGTTCATTGCTTATATGTGCAAACTCCCCCATTCCAAAAAAAAGAAATAAAGATAGCTCAGTCTTTTGTCCTAGAAATCCTTCATTTGAAACGACAATTGTACCCGTCATGTGTATACACGTATATATATTTCTCCCTTTAAACTTAGCAACCTATTCCTGTGAGTTTATCCAACAGAACTGAATTGCACTGTAAAAACAGTTCATGGAGGTTTGGTGCAGCATTGTTTGTGAGAGCAAAAAAACTGAAAATAGAGTGGATGCTCATAAATATGGAAATGATTGAATACATTAGGTGCAGCCATACAAAAGGAATATTATATAGCCATTAAATGAAACGATGAGAGCCATTTCTGTGAACATGAAGAAATTTCCATGAAGAATTTATTCAGAGAAAAAGAGGAAGAAAAGTACCTTTTATGATCCATGTTTTTGTAAAAATTACACCCCTGTGCATTTGTATAGATACACATACATACCCATATGTGCCTAGTTAAGAATTTAGAGAAAAGTATGTACATGTGTAAATTATGTACATATACTAAATGTTAAAGTGGAGGAGGGTGGGATGATGTGGCCAGTGGGGGCATGGGAAGTATGGTTTAAGGCATTTCACTATTTGTGTGGGCTTTTCCGGGTTGGACATCTCACTCTGATAATGCGATTTTAATGGAAAAAATGTGCTCTGCAAAGCTGAACCACAGGGTTGTGTGTTAATGGAGACCAGCGGCATAAATATCAAACACTAACTTATTATTCCAGTCATATTCATATTTCAGTTCAGTGGACCATTTGTGTTTCCCTCAAGGGCAGCGCTACTTTCACTCACGTTTTCACAAAGATAGTTGAGTTTTCTCAGCAAAGTCCAGTTAGCAGCAGAGCGGGCAGGCAGGGAATACGTGAACATGTGGACACACACATGCACGCATGCGTGCGCACAGGGATGACGCAGCACACATGCACGCATGTGCGCGCACAGGAACTGACGCATGCAGCACACCTGCACGCGCGTGCGTGCCCACAAGCAGTCTACAGGGTGGAGCCCGTGCTGGATCACGGAGTTTCGTTTCTGAGGTATCACTACCGTCGCAGCAGGGTAAACCTTTTGAGGTAGAGGAGACCCAGAGATGGTTTTCTTCATTCACCATGTTTTTAAGGAAGCAAGAGTGAGGACTAGGGAAGTGAAATGATGTGGCCAAGGTCACAAAGTTTTTTAGAAGCCAAGTGGGAAACCTGGACCCCAAGGTCTCACGGATACCGGATACCGAGTCCCGATTTGTAAAGTGGATGCAGCCCACACCCTCCTGATGAGCCGCAAAATGCCCTGCGTGTCTCCAGGCAGAAACCCTTTGGAGTGTGGAAACACCCTATTGAATTTAAGGTGATTGTGTGCATATAGCGCCTGGTGGGCAGACAGCTGATAGTAGGTTTGAACATAGCTGGGATACAAATTGTCGCTTATCTGCTCAAACGTGGTTTTTGGTCCTTAATACTAGAGGGTGAATTTGAACTCTGCTGGTTTGATGTTGTGGAATGATTTACTTTCAGTCAGTTAATAGAGAATGGAGAATATTGCAAGCAGGACTGTGAGCTTTGCATTCGAAGTAACACTGCCAAATGCTTGCTGATTTGTAGTCAATAAACAGTAATTGTGAAATGGTGCATTTCAGTGATTTTGGTAAAAAGTGCACTTGAAAGAAAATCCTCATGACTGCATTCAGCCAATGTACTTTTTTTACTGTACACAAAGATAAATGTGCTCAAATGATATCAGAATGTCCCTGGGCTGAATAATTACTGTATTCTTTCCCGCTTAGTGAACTGTGGTATCCAAAGGGCTGATGTTGATTTCTAGTTTACGTTTTTGCAAAATGCCAGCTCCTCTTTCCTGAGGATATTAGTTTGTTGTTTACTGAGGTTTCATTTTGAAACATGAGATCTTTCTCCTTGTGGTCCCTCCCCTTTTGTGCAATAAATGCTCAGGAACATTTATTAGTTGCCAGCCATGTCTCAGGCACTGTGCTAGGAGCTGCGGTTTCAGAGAGATGGGATAGGAATTCACAGTTGGTGGGCAAGCCAGAGATGTAATACGGAGTTTCTGGGGGGGAAATTATATGTAAAGGGCTTCTGGGAGTGTGGGCTGTGGGGATCAGTGAAAGCTTCTCAGAGGAAGCAGCTGTTAGTTGGGGTCTTGCAGGATGCATAGGAAGTCTCAGCAGCTCAGAGGTAACTTGGGAGGAGAGGACACTGTAGCAAAGAGAAGTACAAAGCCTTAGAATGTCTAGACTCTAGAGCCTGGCCAGTCTGAGGAATGGTAGATGTGCCTGTAAGGAAGGTGTGTGGTGGGAGGGGTGGGGGTACATGGAATCCAGGTTTGAGCAGTAGGCAGGGGAGGATCCTGAAGGCCTTGTTCACTGTTTCAAGGAATTTGCGTGTTCTGTAAAGATGGGTGCCCACCTAGGGAAAGGTGATTGTGGCGAGACATGCATCTTATGGGACTGGTTTTGGAAACAGATTAGGTGCTACTGGGGTCAGGGAGCCTGAATCAGAAGTGCCGATTCCTTCACTAACCAGAAGGTAGATTAATTTTTGTTTGTGTATTCTTAATTGACCGTAAGAAAAAAACATACACAATCAATAAGAAAGCTTTGGAGCCTTGGACATGAATAGTCCAAAGTAGACTACCAGGGCTCCTGTAATCAGCAGGAATATTAAATATTATTAAATATTTGAATTAGAGGCTTTGAAATGTCAGTACACACCAAAAAATATGTACTGTAGAGACTAGGGATTGATTAGTTTAATGGAATTGGTGCCTTTTCTAGATTTGTGATATTTTTTGTTTTTGTAGGTGATACTCTCTGGAATCATAGGATTAACAACTTGGAAACGGCCTATGATACTCCTGGTATGTACTATAAATTCTTGCCTTTTGTAAAATGTGCTATTTATGAAGTCTGTTAAACAAACCATTGAAGAAATGCTAAAGCTTCCTGGTTCATTAAAAAAAGTTAACAGTGGACAATATTATAACTCAGATGTTCTCGGAATAGTAAAGTAAGACGATAATTTTGCCAGTGTTCTGATTGACTTCCAGGTTCTTATATACCCAGGGCTAAATACGTGCTGTTCATTTCAGGATTAGACCTATTGTAAAGATATAATTTTGAAAAAATGTTTACTATGGACATTTTTTAACAGATACAAAAGTAGAGGGAATAATATAATGAACCCCCTGTACCAATAACCCAGCTTTAGTACTTACGTATTAACTTACAGTCGGTCTTGTCCAGCCTGACCCTTACCCGTTCTCTCCGCCCTCCATATTCCTTTTTCCTCCATATTCTTTTGAAGAAAATCTCAATATTAATCATGATTACATAATTTTTTATTGTTACAATGCTTTGGACAGCCTCAGAATTTCATTGCTCAGATTTTCTATATTTTTCTCTTTATTACACAAATATTATATTTTATGGTAATATAGATAGGTAGTGGTGACTTAAATTTTCATTATTGATGTAAAATTCACATAATAGAAATTCATTTTAAAGTGTACAATTCATTGGCATTTATTATATTCCCAATGTCATGCCTTTGCTTTTCTTTGCTATGTCCTTCTGATTCAAGGAATACTATAAAAAATAGACCATTTCCAATGAAGTTGCCAATGTTTAAGGATGAAGTAGAGGGTCTAGGAAACTCAATTTGAAGTATACTTTAAAATTTTTTTTTCTATATAACATTTTATTTTTCATTTTTCTCCATCTATTTTGAAATAGGATTAAATAAATTTCTCATCATTTTGTTTATATGCTTAACAGTTTATCTTGAACAGACCACAGTTGACCAGGTGGTGGGTAATAAACACAAAAATGGTTAAATTCTTAGATATAAGGAGAAGAAGCACATTGTAGAATACAGGCAGAAAAATGGGTTCTGAGACTGTGTTGATGATCTTGAAAAAATTAAAGAATTCTCAGGCCCACAAGAGAATTTAGGCAACATTTTTTTACCAGTCAATCAGTTATTGCATTTAGTGAAACTATGCTCATATTTCTGGAGGGAGTAAATCATTAATGCAGCATTTTAACACGTTAGCAGGATGGGAGACAACGAGGCTCTGGATGAGCTCTGCAGCGTATGTTGTGAGTGTCTGAGGCTTGTTTTACAAAACTCTCTAGGCTTATAGTCTCTGCAGAAGAATTTTGGTTAGTGTTCAATATTTATACTAATAGTTGGCTATAGGAGTCATCTTTTTCCTTTGGGTTAATATCGAAATGCTCAGAAATACAAACCTCAAGTATTTAACTTAAATTAAAATCAGAAAATCTCTAATGCTATTTATACTTTGAAAATTCCAAATGGTGAAGAGAATATGAGTGCGTGTCCTAGACAGATATTAAGAAAGTCCTCCTTTTAAGACGTTATTTTCTTTAACATTGTTTTCTTTTGGAAAGATGCCCTATGATTTTATTATATGTGTTCAGGCATCTTTAAATGAAAACAACATTAATAAAAATGTGTCTTTATTACATTTAAAAATTTTATTTCTCATCTTTGTTGTTAAGTATATACTTGATCACAAAGTTGTGACCAGTTTATTCATCCAGTGTTGACCTCTTACTTTTTCCATTTAATATTAAATTAAATAATATTAAGTGAATATTGTTTTCACATATGAGGAGTTCACAGTGCCTACCTACTACTTAAAATTGCCAAGTAGCGTTCTGTCATTTATAAGCCTGTTGGTTATGTAGAGATTGTTTTGAAATGTTAATTAACACTAATTTAAAAAGCAGATAAATTAATTGACAAGAATCATACAAGGGAAACTTTCTGAGGATATCAATAGATCATTTGAGCCTTAGTGAGTATCATAAATTGAAAAATCCTCAGTTCACATGAATCTTAATAGCATATCATTGTAACTTGTACCAAATGTTTTTGTTATGTTAAAAAATGAAAAAATCATGTAAGGTAATAAATGAAACTGGACATGTCAGTCAGACACTCCTGGTTAGAGTCCTTGCTCGTCTTCTGAAGGTTGTACAACTGTGTGCAAACGACTTAATTTTTCTGAGTTTAGTTTTCTGTTCTGAATAGATGGGATAATCTTGTGATACCAAGGGGCAGCTCTACCACCATCCCCCTTTTACTGGGTACTTGACCTTTTTTGTCCACCCCCACCCGTTCCTGAGTTCAGGGAATGCACCAACTGATTTTTGTTGTTTGTTTGTTTTTTTTTGGTAAGAGGCTGTGCTCCATGAGAGAAGCCAGCAGGTACTGAATCTGTGTTCGTATAGACCCAGGCTTGGCCAAGCAGAGTTCCAGCCCTTCTCCCCTTCACGTCCCACACTTTGTCCCAGGAGCACGTTCTGATTCTTGAACAGCCAGAATCTTCTACATAAACCTGGGACCTTCTTCCTCTCACTGTTTGCTTGGCTGGCTTCTCATTTGGGGCTCAGCTCAGCAGTCACTTCCTGAAAGAGACCTTCCCTGATCACCCTGATTCCAGTGTCTCCCTCCCCTCACCATGTCCCAGCACTCACTATTGGCTTCCCAGCTGGTACCGGCCCTGTGTATGTGCTGTTTGATTGCTAGTGGTGGTGTGCTCCCCCAGTAAACAGTTCTGTGAGAACACAGGTCTCGTCTGTCTTCTCCATCCTATATGCTCAGTACACACCTATCATTGATGTGGAGTTAGTTAGGCAGTCAATAAGGCATTTAGGTCCTAGGTGAGTTCCCAAAGTTTATCTTATTCTTTTGTCTTACATTTCTCTCACTTGCTTTGTTCTCTAGAACTTTGTATTCTACCCTTTTAGCTTTAGGGTGTTTAGGGAGTATTTCGATAATGAAGGTTGGCAGGGTCTGGTTAGTCTTTCCAGGACCGTTTTAGGAGGCAAGCTATCCTCATTTTGAGTTGTTGGGTTGCACACCGGTCAAGAACACTTGAATACTTTCTTTTGAGAACCACTGACCTTTGTCCTCCCTTTTTTTGTGTGATTGTTTCAGTGATTCCATCAGGCTTTATACTCATTTGAACAAAGAAGGGTCAGTTTGACCTAGTTCCTTCGAACTCAAGTTCTCATGCAAATTCAGGATTGGTAGTTTTCATTCATTGGGTCCTCTTCCTTATACTACTGATAAAGTACTCATGTGTCCAAAACAAAAGTAATAATCTTGGGAAATAGTTTGCAAATATTTGTAGCTTTTTTAGCTATGACTGGGATTAAGCTAGGGTGTTTGTACATGTGCATACATTTCTGTGTGTGTGTGTGCACACTGTATTCTAGGTTGTATATTTTCCATCAAGAGCAAACAATTTCCATTGTAAAAGAATGCTTTTATTTCCCCTATTGATGGCTTTAAAATTTTAAATAATATTATAGGCTCCTATTTCTTAATCCATCAACTTTATATAGTAAATTTTTAAAAACTCCTTTCCCAATGATATGTTTACTGATTTTAGAGAGAGAGGAAGGAGTGGGGTTAGGGAGGGAGAGAGAGAGGGAAAGAGAAACATTGAAATGAGAGAGAAACATTGATCCATTGCTTCCTGTACATGCTCTGCCCAGGGACTGAACCCTCAACTTAGGTGTGTGCCCTGACCAGGAATGGAGTCCACAAATGTTTTGTGTCCAGGACGACACTCCGACCAACTGAGCCACCCAGCCAGGGCTGCATAGTATATCTTGACTCTCTCTTCTGTAACTTGAAGAAACCAGCACTTAGCTCTACTTCTTCCCCTTCCCCCTCCCAGTTTTTAATAATAGTACCATCACTTTCATATTGTCAGTGTTTTAATGTTTACGTTTTGCTCTTAAACTCTGTTATACCATTCAAACATTGTCTAAAAATTGTTTTTAAAATAGTAAATACCAATAATAAATAGTATTTATGTGAATGTGATTTTACTAGGATGTTTGAATTAGATTCTCTATTTCCAGATTCTCCTGCAGCCACAATACAACAGATGTCAGCAGCTCCCACATTTTAGTGCATTAGATTGTCTAAGCAGAATTTGCAAATGTGGATGAAAACCAGTTTTGCAACCCTTAACCCATCTCCATCCCCAGCCTCCAGAAAGATTAGGGATTAGAGGCAGATGTTTTTTGAGAAAGTTACCGAATTGCTATGGCATTTTGAGTTTCATCTCCCAGGGAAGTGGTGCTTACAGATAAATTCTTGGAGAACTAATACAAGTCCCTTGATAGACTGGATTGTCAGGCACCTGCTTTGGGGGAATTCAGAGGTCTGGTTGGAGTGCCCTGCAGCCTCAGACTCAGAGAAGGCAGTTGGGAAATAAATGTGCGTTTACAGACCAAAGCGAAGACGCATACTTTCAAGTTGACCATAGGCTAGAGATAACAGATCTGGGGTAACTTTAGATCCTGCTCCCAAGAGCCCCTTGTAGGAGTAAGGAGACCACAGCCTGCACAGCTGGATGCCCAAGTCAAGGGGACTGCCAGCTCAACAATCAGTATCTCAGAGGAGCCTGTGGGAGCCCCATTCAGGAGAGTCCTCTCTAAACACTTGCCGAGTCTAGGGTGAACAGTCAAATGAACTCTTGCTGCCCCTTTCCTTGCGTTACCATCATGCCCTGGGCTCTCCTCCCCGGCCCCCTACCCCCTGCCCATTTCTTCCTCTCCTCAATGGCAGTCTCAGGAGAAGTGGACACAAAAAGTAGGGAAATCAAGAAGATGGCCTAACTCCCTTGCGTTTCCCACTGCAGGCTTTCTTGCTCTGTACAGTAATCAGCCTGATGAGAAGAAAAGCTGAAATTTAAATGAAGTTGCAAGTTTTGACTGGGATAGAGGCCAGGACATTATAGTTACTGAAATGAGACCGTTACTTGTGGTGACTAAAAGACCCTTTGTATCTGATATTGACTAGAGAAAGGGAAAC